CGCCGCGGACATAGTCTGAGTGCCGCGGCTGCCCGGGCAGGAGGAGCCTCCTTCGCCGCTGCAGCGGGGGGAGGGGGGCAGTGAAGAGAGGACAAGGAGAACTTGCTTAGACTTAAGGCTTCACAGGGTGAGAATGAGGCGGGAGATGTAATTTCGTATTATGACAAATTGTTGTTCCTCTCCCTTTAAAATCTAAAGGAAATGTCTCGAGCTGGTACCCGAATTTAGAAGTTCCTGCTTGCTTTGTGTACTGCCAGTGTGTAGGGACCAGGCGGCTCCCTGACCCATGAGCATAGTAATTAATACTTGTGACCGCAGCTTAAATACCTGTGTATGCAGAAACCTCGAAGTTGAGGCAAACAAAATACCGCATTATTCAGGAACTGGAGATAGGACAGTGTGTGAGTCCAACCTGAAATTCTTATTCTGGTTTGCATTTCTCACCCTTCCCTGTCTATGGGGGAACAGAATGGGTGAAGTTTTTGGGTGAGGTTTGAGGATTTTGCTGTAGGGTGGAACAGCTTAAAAAAGGAGAGTCATTAAACCTGGCCTTGGCAGAAGAGCCTGCTCTAACTTTAAGTGGACTAGGCTTCTGCTGCTCTCCAAACTATGAGCACTGATTAATAGTCTGCTGTAATTAAAGCATGGTTTTGTTGCTTATCCATGGAGAGCATGGACTCAACAGACATGCTGACAAAAAGGTTTAAGAACACCCGGAGTATTCAAGTACGGTGCAGCTGGGGTTTCTGGATTCCTTCTGTTTTTCAGGAAAGCAGGGTTGTATTCTTCTCTTATAACAAAAAAAGAAAACCCCTTGTTCCACTAACTGCAAAAGTACCTTCTGTGAGTGACATCTGCAAAGTAATGTGGATGTGACAGCTAGCAAGATTATGGCCCCTTTCCTATCACCTCTTCAGAAACTGAGTAGCTTCTGAAGAATGGCTCCTTTAAGGGTGCTTTACTGGTCCCTTTCAAGTACCTGCTAGTGGACAGAACGAGCAGTACTTCAGCTGGTTCAGTTATGTGGTCCTGAGGTGAGTGACTCATGTAACAGGGCCTGACTGTGGGACATAATGTCTCTTACAGCAGAAGCTAGTGGGGTATTTAAACTGTTAAAAAGCTGGTGTTACCAAAGCTTTCCTCTTTACACAAGCTGCCTCTTTATTAATTGAGTCAAAGCCAATATGGAAAACTTGCAGCTTCAGATGCAGTAGAAGTAGTGTCTGCTAGGGAGTTTGGGCAGTTGAACCTTCAGTCTGTTTATGTCAGCTTCTGTGTTTAAAGAAAAAACCCAAAACAAACCAACCCAGAACACCACTGAATTATGTAGTAACCATTGCCAGTCAGCTGATGGTTGGGTTAATCCAAGTTCAAGGGTGACTTGATGCAAATTGGAAATTACATTTACAGCTAGGGTCCACACCACCTAGCAGGTTGATTAAAGCTGTTGTATCTGCTGCTGAGAACTAAACACTCCTTTCAGCACCATCTGTGGTCAGTAGCCTTCATTTTGAGGTATTGGTGCCGGGAATCCTTGCTGCACTGGAGGCTGTCATTATGAGAGCCTTTTCTCTTACTTGGCCCTTGGAAACAGAGGCCTGACACTAATGTATTTGTTGAATGAAGCATGTGCTTTTCTGCTGGAGGACAATACAAGCAAAATGAGGTCTTACATGTGCTCAGGGGGTTGTAGTGTTTAAAAAAAACCCAAAAAACTAAAAACCAAGCAACTGGTCAGAGGCTTCCCCAGTAAGGTGCTACCTGAAGAAAGTACTAGTTGCTGAAGCTGTAAGATCATCTAATGGTGTGACCAAATGATTGCATGGGGGGACGTTCCACTTATGTTAACAAAGCTGACTTGGTTTTTATATGTCAGCTTGTCACTTCACAGTTAACATGGAAGACAACTATGGAAGCCAGTTGCATCACTGAAGTAGCTTGTTTTGCCCTCATTATTGTTTTCCTTCCTTTAGGGAGATTACCCTCTCTGGAAAACTTTCTGAACTTCTCCCTAGTTCAATAATTTTTAACTTGCAAGAATAAGCACCTTTGGACCTGTATCTCTGCACTCTCCCACAGCCATTTTGGCAAGTACTAAAGGTGACTCACAGGGTAACTAACACCTGATTGTGGTCAGCACCAGGTCTCCAGTGGTGTATGGTGTGTGACCAACTGCAGGTATCATGATCTCCTATCTTCCCTTTGCTCTGCGCAACAGCAAACCTGAGGTGTGTGGCCATATGAAAAAACAAATCCCATGGCTGGAATTCCTTTTGCAGAATACAGTAATTACGTAGCCAGATGGAGGACTCAGGCTTGGAAGAGGATGGTCTAACTGGCAGGTGCAGGAAGTGGAAACAGTAAAGAGCTAGTGATGTTGCAGTGCAGAGGTATGAGAAGGTATACCAAAATCAAGCTGTGGGTTTCAAGGTGGAGAGGACTAAGCCTTGACTGAGAAACTTCTGGTATAAATATTTTCAGGCAGCTAGCACGGACTGCTGTGTACAGAGAGCTTTGTTGGTAGGACTGGGGTGTGGGAATGTATACCGTGTCAGTACAGGAGTGGGGCAGTGTGGAGGGACAGGAAAACCTACTGTTCCCATCTCTTTCAGACTGAGAGTAGGTGATGTGGAGTTTTAGCTACTGATGTTACAGCAGAGTAGACTGAATATCCAAGACACAAGGATGAAAGAACTCAAATGTAGAGGCTGAGCTTCTGAAGATAGCTACACTGGGAGGGAAAATGTGTTATTAACAGACATGTAATGCCAGGTGCATTTGGAATTACAGGAAGTTATGAAGACTGTTATGTAGGTTATTCATACGTAAGAATGCTGGTACAGGACCCTCTGCTTGCTTGTTAAATATACTTGTGACTAGTTTGACTGTGTACATTCTTGGCTACTCACCTGCATGGCATTCTTTCATGAGGGGCTGGGGAGAGCTTACTAGAATAAAGTATCAATTTACTGTGGCTGATTACAGAAGCTGGCATTAATTATTGAACTCCTGCACTGCAAAACCAATCACTGGGTACACATGGCAGTAACTGTACTGCTGTCAGGTAGCTGTTGCTGACAGAGCTCTAATGCTCCGTTTTGTCAAGTTGCGGAGAATAAATCAGCTATCTTTTATATGCATAATCTGAAATGAAGCTTATGTTAACAGCTCTCTTGAAGCTTGCATTGCCGTGAGAGCAAAGTTGAGGAATGTCGAAGTGGCTTGCACTTGCTTTGGAAAAGACACTGTCAAAAAGTAGCTGATTAGCATTTTCTGCTTCTGCCTGAGATACTTGTTTCCCTCCTGCTAGCATGCAAGTATTTATTGCTTTTAATGGCTTTCAGTTCTGCTAAAACATTCAATTTTTGACGAGAAAACATGACCTCTAAATTTCAAGGAACATTGTCTAAAAATAATTGGTGTCACTAAGTGCAACAAACAGACTCAAAGCTCTAAATAATTCTTGGGTGTTATTTGTGTGGTCTATACGTGTAGCATTGCTTTGGCTAGTGATTATACACATGGGCTCACTTGGCAAAATAAGTAAAAAAAAACAAACCCAAAACCAAAAAACAAATCTGAGGTTGCTTTAGAACACTAGCTGTAGAGTAAATCAAGACAACATCATTTTGATGTTAGCCATTGACTGGAAAAGGCATCAAACTGGAGGAATGTGGAAAAAGGGTTGTTCTTTTAAAATTCTGCAGAGGGAAGTCTGTCCCAGAAGAAAATGGAAGTCTTCCTGCCAAGGCTTAAATGAGAAACTTATTATTAAAAACCATAACGATCACATTCAGGGGTAACACGAAACAGCTTCCAGAGTTGAGGATTGTAGGCTAGATGATTTTCTAGCTTATGTTTCCACAGTTCAGTGAGTTGGGGTGACTGAGCATTGTGGTCTCTTTCCAACTGAAGAGTGGTAAGACACCAGCTGATGCTAGCAGTGGTGAAAGCAATTCATGCTAAAGCGCTTACCTGATGTGTTTAAAGAGATACCAAAACAGTTAGGGTGTTAAGGCCGATAGCAAGCTAGCTTTGGGATTAGTCTAAATAATTTCAGAAAGGAGGGGGGAAATCATTAATGTGATCAATTCTTTTGTTCTTTTACAGTCTGAATTTGAGGCAGAATTGCAGTCTGCTGGTGAGAAGCTTATTGTCGTTGACTTCTCTGCCACATGGTGTGGACCATGCAAAATGATCAAGCCCTTTTTCCATGTAAGTAGCCTTTTTGTTTTTATTGATAACTATTAAAGTATACAGAATGTTTTTGTGCTGCTTAACAATAACATGGGAGAAACTTCCTTTTGCTGCATGTGATTTCCAGCCTTTTCTGGAAGAGGGAGAAGTTACAGAAGTATCTCCTTTGAAACTATCAAGTTAAATATACCAACCTTTTATATAGCTGGGAGCTCAGACGGGGTTTAAGATCTGCTGTCCTAATGCTTACGTGTATCTTGGGTCTGTAGATGCCTAACTGTTACATTGCCTCAAGCGGTGGGATACAGAGTGAAACAATGTTTATCCTTCTGTATGCAGTTACCGCAGTCCCTCCCCCTGTGCTTAGGCAGCAATGATGACAGCACCGTATAAACCAACAGTTTATATGGATGTCTCTTAGAAAAAGCTTTCCTGGAACATTGTAACTGAACAGTTTCTTAATTTGTTCTAGAGTTTGTGTGAGAAGTATGGTGATGTGGTGTTCATCGAAATCGATGTGGATGATGCCCAGGTATGGTGTGGAGGTGATGCTGAGAGGGGCAGCTAATGAGTTCCACATGAGTGACGATGATGTCTTGTTTAAAAATGTCACTGCAGATACTGAAACAAAATGAGATTACCTCAACTTTGAGAAGCAAGAGATTAGGGATTTATCACTTATACTGGAAATTGCAGGGTTTTTTGTTAGAGGACACCTGACCAGAACAAACTGTCTTGGTTATCTTCACACTTGAAGCCCTGTGGCATGTATTGAGTAGGTTGAGAACAATGACCCTCTACTTTGGGAGGGAGTGTTAGTGTAAGGCCTTAAGCTGCTTTGATGCAATATTCCCTAATACTAATGGCTCACAACTGTCTGGGGAGCTGTCTGGTCTCTCCACTGCTCTTGGCACTGTTGCCTCTTTCATGTCTTAAGTGCAGTAAAATGACTGCTGTATAACAGCTCCAGTAGTGTCAAACTGGTACTTAAACAATGTTGGGTTGAAATACAAGAGTTTCTGTAGTCCTCTTGAGCCTTACAAATAGACGTATCTGTTTTGATTGAGAGGTCTTTTTTTCTTTTTTTTTTTTTTTTTTTTAGCACAGAGTACAGGTATAGTAAATGTGGTTCTGCTATAGCATGAACTAAATGCTGAAGGGGGGGTCCTTCAGGCTTACTTCAGGGAGATGTTAACACTGCACTCTTTTTCCTAGTGATGGCCTACCAGAAGTGCTTTTACTTCATTTTGAGCAGCAGTGGCTTTGCCCTATCACCTAAACAAAAGGCAGCTAGTGGGTTCTAAGTTTAAGATACTTCAAATGCATACAGCTGAAGATTGTATTCTGTCTCTTCCAGGACGTTGCTGCACACTGTGATGTGAAGTGCATGCCAACGTTCCAGTTCTACAAGAACGGGAAAAAGGTAGGCACTGCTTTTTTGCAACTGGAGCAGGCATTCTAAATGTTTGAAAGAAGACTGGGAATATTAGGCCACTTACCCTGCTTTCTCTTGATGATTGTTATGGGGCACCACTGTCATGGCCTCCAAGAGTGAGCAAGTTCATCTTGCAAATGTAGCAGGACCAGCAGTTAACTGATGAAGCAAATCCTATTGTAAATGGGTAGTGAATGGAGTTAGTGTTACAGGCCAGTCTTATAGGCAGAGTGCCATGAGAGATTAGTGGGGTTAGATGTCTGGGTTAAGACTGCTAGTCTGTCTGTCTAGCACCCTGGTTTTTACCATCTTGGTTAGTATTTTTTCTTTGGGTGCAGCTCATAGTTGAGCTGAGATGTGGCTGTATGTCCCACCCAGACAGGAACCTTAAACATAGCTGAATATAGACACAGCTGAAACAACTGCTTATATGCTTTTACATAGTGGCAGTTTAACCTGTTAAGTGGAGGCCCTGTCCCTGGCAGAGGACCTACTCTCTCAAGAGGTGGATGAGATGGGATTCAGACCATGCTTTGACAGCACTGGGGCTGCCTGTGCATGGTAGCTGTGAATGCCTCTCAGCTCAGCAATTCTCTAGTTCAGGCAAAGTGTGTTGTCTCAGACTTTTAGTTTGCCAAACAAGCTGAAGTTAAGCTTTGCTAAAGTGAAGCATATCTGCCTGGATAAGGTTTCATGGCTGAAGGCAATGGAATTGCACCTTGTAAAGTGAGTGGTGGGAGCAGAGACCTTCAGTTCAATTCAGTATGGGGCCAAGTCATGACTAATAATGAACCTTTGACAATTTTCTCAGGGTAAACTCCCACAGCTTCTTAATGCAGTTGGAAGAATTGTGTTTATGATGTGACAGGTTGTAGGTGGTATATGTAATCCTTCTGTCTGGCTTTTTGTTTTGGGCTACCTTGGCAGTCCTCTGAATACATAAGTACCAAGCAACCGATTTCATGACCTTTAGTGCAGTCTGCTCTGTAGCTTGCACCCCAATAGGAACTGGAAGGCAGCACTGCTGTTCTTGGGATGTGAATGTTACCTTTGTCTTTCTGTGTAAGTTGCAACAAGCACAAGTTTCACAGGAGAAGCCAGGCTCAGGGCCAGGTCATTCTAGAATTTGATGGGGGAGAGTCCTGAGCAGTGCAAGGTAACTGAGCTACCTCTGCTGTGTAGTGACCTCCAATCTCTTCAAGCCTGTACTTAGGACTTACAGCATTGGTTCAGGATCAGTTGTCTTTTCTACATGGTTTTACATGTAGAAAGCTCCAGCAAGAGCAGTCTGGAAGTGGTTCTTGTTAAGGCTTTTGGGGATGAGAAAACCTTACTTGTAGCAGAGTTCAATAGCTGTGTTTGTATCTGGATGCTATGCATCTAATATTATAAAGCATTGAATGCAAAAGCTCTAAAATTCAATCTCTTTTTACAGGTGCAGGAGTTCTCTGGGGCCAATAAAGAGAAGCTGGAAGAGACCATTAAAAGCCTAGTCTAATCTCCAGCCATGCAGACTTTGGAGCATGACTGCTTCGGCTAAATTATAGCCTGTAACTTTTCTACTTAAAAAAAAAAATAAAGAAGCTAGCTAGATTAAGTGGTGAAAACTATCCTCTTGATCTGTGTAAATGAGTACAATAAAGTGTAAATTCTTCACTTTTGTATACTGCCTTGTGTTTAAAAGAAAATGTAAGGAGTTTCATGATGTCATCAAGGTCTTGGGTGTTGCTGTGTGAAAGGAGTACTGTCTGGGTACAAACACTTGTCAAATGCAACCTGATTGATTTTTTTTTTTTTTATTTTTTATTTTTTTTTATTGCTGGGGGTGGAAAATTGTGTTATGTGGGACAGTAATGACATAGCTCTGGGAGAAGTCTGCTGCCACCTTTCTCAGGTGGTAGTCACCAGGCTGTAATCCAAAGAGGGACAGTCTGGCTCGCAGATGAAGAGAGGGGAGTTTAGGAGTTGCAGAAAAGAGGGTGATCATGGGCTGGAATAGCTTCTTTCTTTCCTTGCCTCTTTTTAGCTAAAGATTTTTTTTTTTTAATTTCTAAAGCTTCATTTTAGACTCAAAGCTAAGACTTGGTTTATCAGGCCATAATGTCAATCCTACCATGGAAGTGTAAGGCAGGACTTGGAGCTGCTGCTTTTTTGCCTTGCTGTTGTACCTTCTCGTTCTCTTAGTAGCAAAGTGTGTTTAGTTTGAGTTGGGCTGTTTTGTTCCTAGGTAGTAGTCTGGAAAAAATGAAGAGGTAGAACTTGCAGTGTCTTAACCCCAAGGTAACTTGGACTTATATATTGTCACTTTCATTTGACTGCACTATTGCATTCTTAGAACACAGTGAATGCTGCTTTGTGCTGGACAGTAAATTGTACTCTCCAAACCTGCATCTGGTTGTAGATGTGAATTATTGCTAACTTGCCAGCCTCTGTATCCATTCAACTACTATTCCCAGTGTTATCAAGGAGAACTGTTGTGCTTTTCCACCAGATCAGGATGGCTTTCTTGCTGGCTTGGGTGTTGTCCTGGATAAGAATTCAGTAAATGAGGAGACAGGGCTGTAGCTAGCAGCTATGCCTAATGCTGCTAACCACACAGCTAGGTGACCTGTGCTGCTCAGAGTATCACTGATGAAAAAGCAAGGCTTCTGCTACATACACAGACAAGTAGGAATGAGGGAGCCTCTTTGTGGTAGGGAGCTTGTGTGTGACTCAGCCTTACACTCATGTCACAAGGATGCATGAATTTCCTGGCTCTTGAGGACTGAGGGCCTTCAGCAGCTTGCTGCACATGTTCCTTATTTGAAACAAGATCTTTCTAGTCCAAGCAGTGACCGCACCCTTTAGCTGAGGATGAGCCATCAAAGATCTGCTTGGATGTAAGCTCTAGCTTGTGATTATGCAATGAGAAGGATGTGCAAAATGTTTTCTGTGCAGCTCCAGCTATTTGACCAAGAAGTGCAGCAGAAGTGTGTAGGCTGATAGCTGAAAGACTGTTTGCACAGGTAAGTGGGAAAGCACTGCCTCAGGTGGTGCTGTGGAGGGGATGGTGGGGAGAGAATAAAATGAAGCTAGGGAGAGAATGTAGCATTAACACCATACCATCTTCAAACAAGCATATTGCTCTTGAAAGCAGTTTCTGTGTGGCTTACTTACTCCTGAGCAGTAGCTGGGAGCAAGAAAGGTTTAAACAGTCATTGGTAGGAAGCCCAGGTGAAATTTAGTAGGAGCTCCTGACATCCAGCTTACTCCTTAAGAAATGAGGAAGCTACTGAGATGTGCTGCAGCACATGGTGTTTGCTGAGGTGAGGCCAGACAAGGTTGCTGCCTGCTGCCTCAGGGGGAAGGTGCAGTTAATGGGAAATGCTGCTCATGTGTTATTTGACTTTGTTACTCCCTTAATAAGATGCCACTGCAGTAGCCTTGAAAGATCCAGGTGACAAGTTACTGGAAATTCAAGACAGGATTAGGAAAGATGGGAAAGGCTGGAATAACTTGTGCTGAAACCAGGGGTGCAAAGCAGTTCTTGGAAGTGCAGCAAGTCTTCAGGTTCCTGTGCCACAGTATCTTCCTGCTCTGTGTGCTGGCACGTAGGCAAAGTGTGATGAAAATAACTTGGGTAGCTTTATGTGAAAGGAGGTGTTCTTTAAGGCTTGGCTCTTGGAGGCGTGTACAGTGAGCATCTGTGTGCTGGGAGAACTTTCTCTCTGGAGGAACCAGCAAGCATATGCATAGATATGTCAGAATTTGAGTGCTTGAAGTTAGTTCTTGCCATGGTGATAGAAAGCAAAGCCTAATGATTGCACCTAGTTGAGCTGTGAGGGGCCTCAGTCCCTACAGAGCCAGTGCTCCTGCTGGGAGGAGAACCCCAGTTCCGGATGGGAGCAGACTGAATCCCGGCAGGCAAGAACCTGGTGCTTCAGGCACTGTTAAAGCCCAGATACAGCAAATAAAAGTTTTGCCCTAAGTGGGATGGGTACAAGTAGCCTTGCTAAAGACTTGGGCCATCTGCCCTGCCCATATGCGTATTAAGTAACACCCTGGAGAGCTCAACAGGTTTGGTGTTCTGCTTGTTTTTCATGTCAAGGAGTAAGACCAGTATTACCATGTGCCAGACAGTAGTAGCACAGCAGTCATGGTTTCATTGAACTCTGTGGTCTGCTGCTTGCATGAACAGAACCAGCTGCTTTGATCAGTGACCTGAAAAGATTCTTTGAGAGGGAAGTGGTAGATGGCAAACTGACTCGGATGTTTGGAAGAAACTTGAGGTACGTGGCAGAGAAGAAGACATATAAAGGTTTCTCCTGGGAGTAAGGGCTCCAGAAAGAAGTTCTCCCCTGAGGCAATGACTGCAGTCTCATTTGATTATGAAATGGCTGGGATCTGTGCCTTGCTGTCAAACCAGTAGAGCAAGATGTTTTTGTCTGCAGGCCTGTCGCTTCGCTTGCTTTCTTACAGTGGGCTGGCAACAGGAAGAGAAGTACTTCCTTGAGCACAGCAATTGGAACACATGGCTCAAATAACTAGGTTTAATGAGAGGGGACTAAGTCATGAAAGGGAGGGGCAAGGGGTCACAGAGTGGACAAGGGAAGTGTGTGTGATCAGATTGCAGTGAAACAGTGACACTCACTCATCCATGTGTTCTGAAACTGCCATCATGCACGTGAGGAAGGAGTCTTTTAACCACCTGCACATCTTTTCCACATCTCTTGGAGCAGTCAGTCTAACTCCAGTTAACCATCTGCTTTTCATTCTCTCTTTGACCCAAATGAAGTTAGACTTGGTTTCCTCCCTTGAATGATTCCAGTAAGAGTATTTAATTATTTTAATGTTTAAATTCTTACTCTTCATTTGTCAAACCTAGCTGGATCTAGCAGGGACAAAAAAAACAACCATTGTTTTACCTGTGCCCAGATACTGTGACAGAGCAACTCCACTGTGCTCTATGATGTGCAGCTTTCAGCCACTCAAGGCATTGGCTTGAGGAATACGCTGGTGAAATCCTTGCTGGATGAACTCTGTAGTGCTGGTCTCTGGCCCTGGAGAGGGGTAGGAGAGACTGACTTGGTGGGCTAACCCTGGTTAACTGACAAGTGCCCACCAAGCCCCTCTTATTACCTGCCACCTCATCAGCAGGACAGGGGGAGATAGTGACAGAAAAGCAGGTGGCTTGAGGTAAGGACAGGGAGATAATTTTGCAATTACAGTCACAGGCAAAACAGGCTTGACTTAGGGAAATTAACTTACTATCCTAGTCTGTTTAGTTGCAGTAAGAAATAAAACAAATCTATAGCCACCTCCCCCTGTCTCTCCCAGGCTTAGTTTCACTTCTGGCTCTTCCCCTGCCCCACCCCTGCGCAGTGCAGGGGAATGCGGGGTGTGGAGAGTTCTTAACATCATCTCTGCTGCTCCTTCCTCCTTGTGCTCTTGCCATGTTCCAGTGTGGGGTCGGTAGGGTACAGTCCTTTGGGAATGGATTATTCCTGTACAGGTGCCCATTGGCCACAGATCCTGCCAGCAAATCTGTTCCAGTGTAGGCTCCTCTCCACGGTCCAGAAGCCCTGCCAGGAGCCAGTTCTGTGAGTTGTCCATGGACTACATGTTCCTCCTTGCTCTAGTGTGGGGTCCTCCCTGTGCTGCAGGCAAGATATCTGCGCCATGGGCTGCAGGAGCACAAGAAGACCAGAGATGATTACCAAGCACAGTTCCCAGGGCCATTGAGGAATGGGCACTGCACCCTGGGCAGAGCTGATGCCTTTAAGGATGCATGCAGTGGAGGACTGCTGCAGTGCCAAAGAGGACCTAGCCCTAGGTAATCCCTTGCACACCTTCTGACAGCCTGTGGGATCATCAAGTGCTCACCCCTTCCCAGAAAGCCCTTAAGCTCAGCTGCAGAGTGATAATGTCATTGGAAGGGTGCTGCCAGCCAGCATTTGCTGCTCACAGGCCTTGTGCAACTGGCTGGAGGACAGGCTGGACTGCCACAGTACTACCAATGCTCTGCCTAAAAGCAATTCAGTATTTTGGGATTTGCAAGCCCTCTGCAGGGTTAAATCTCTGCCCTGGTGCCTAGAACACCTCCTCTCCTCCTGCACTGACCTTGCTGCCTGCATGGTGGCTTTTCCTCATGTACTCTTGTTCACCTCCCCCTGCTGCTGGGGCATAGTGCATTTTTACCCTTTATCAAGCATGTTCTCACAGGTGTCTCAGATCTGGCCAGCAGCAGGTCCCTTTTGGAGCTGGCTGTCACTGGCTCTCATGTAGTGGCAGCTTCTGGTGCCCTTTCACAGTAGCCACCCTGGCAGCCTCCCTCCCCATCCATTTCACCCCCAAACCTTCCCACGTAAGCCTAAAACACTGATATGCTGACAACAGGCAATGTGGGACTGAGGGGGCACCAGGCTAGGCAAGGGCCTAGCCATTGCATAGAGTCTCTGCTCTTTATCTGAAGCAGTAACTGTATACTAGCTCTACACCAACTGCTACAACATTTATCTGTAGGTCTTCCTCAGAAAACCAAACAAACACAAAACTGTGACAGGAAGAAGAGTTTGATAAGGAGCTCTGGGTGGCAGTGGGTGCTGTCAGTTTAGCTGAGCAGATGTTGAACCATACTGTGGATCCTTATTTTCAGTGGAGATTTCATGCAGGTGAGAAGTAT